AACTACTTCAACACTGCAGCCTCCAGCCGCTCAGTTCTTATTCCTGCAAACTATTCCTTCCTTGGTTATCGCGCAGTTTTCACGTACACATATCTACATCAGCTCCTTGCCCCCCGTACTCCCTTACCCACTTGCCATTTTGTGCTCCATCGTTGCGCACATTTGCGCCCGCCAGCAACAAAGTTCATTTCTCTTTCAACTCTCCCACTCCCCTGTATTTATTAATGTATGTACATACAGTATTTGACATATCTATAGCACCCCCCTTTCAAAGTGATATTTTTTGCCACTTATGTTTGATTATTTATTTTTAAGAATTTTCAATTAAAGTACAGTTCATTCTGTAACACAACTCATATAAACCCAAGTTTAAAGCTTTTTAAAAGACTATAAAATAATGCAACAAATTTTCACCCAAATTTCAAACTTTTTTCTCAGAAGTTTTATAGCCCATTCAATTTTACGGCTCTATCCTGTATCAGTGACAAATTCTTGTCACAGATTTTATTTCGGAAAAATATATGAAAAAGTCTAAAATTGTCAGTAAAAAAATTTTTGTCACCGATACAGAAATTGGGCTATTAGTCTACTAATGTGCTAGTTTCAAGTGGCTAAAAACTACCGTTGACTTTTCAGAACTTTTTTGTCGCATTTGCTTTCATATAACGAATAAAAAAAAAATTATTTTTATATGGAGGAAACCCGCAATACCTTCGGCGAAAAAAAAATCTAAAAAATCAGCTGTTGCTTTTAGCCACTTGAAATTTGCTATAAAATGGGCTATAAAACTGTGTACTCAAAAAAATTCTAGCACTTCTTAGAAAAAAGTTTGAAATTTGGGTGAAAATTTGTTGAATTAGTTTGTACTATTTTAAAAAGTTTTAAATTTTAATTGAAAATTCCTAAAAATAAATAAATAAACACTTTGAAATGGGGGGGTGCTATTGTATTTGCCATTACTGTATGTGCTTACGTTGCGATTTCAAAACGATTTAAAACGTCATCTCCGTAGCCGCTATTTTAGTATGTTTTGCCGCTATATAAAACCTAATACTCGTTACTCGTTGAGTGGAGGTGGAGGTGTAGGTAAAGGTCGAAAATGAGTCGTGGAGAAGGTGAAAAATTGTGGTATGTCGGTCGGTTGGCAAAAATCGTCAACGGCAACGCAGCAGAACAACATACATACATACATACATGCATACCTGCCAATGAAAAAAAAAGTGTTTCGATTTCCTTTTTTGCACAACTTCGTTTGGTTTTTGCATAATATATAGCTTTAGCACTTTTTAAATTTAGTTTAAACATACGCGCTGCTTTTGTGTTATATGTATGTATGTATGCATGTATTTTTTTTCCTGCTAGCGCTAATGCGCGATGGTGGTAAACTCGAATGGAGCACTCGGCTGTCTGATTTGTAAGCTTTGCTCTTTTCACTCTGTGATGCTGGTGCCGCTCTCGGGGTTTGCTGAGCTATGCGCCCACACGTTGCTATTCTTTGCTTCATTTCGGGTTTTTATTTTTTTGTACAATAAAATAAGTTGGTGGTTTTTGGTCTCCTTTGTGCTGCTGCTGCTGCGGCGCATGCGTTTGCCAAGCCTCAGCCACAACCTCGGCTTGAGTGCTGTGTTGGTGCTGCCGCTGGGGCCACTGCTCTCCATACAAATGTGAAATATGAACCATGACCATGCCAAAGAATGAAAAATTACAGCACAGACCAAATGGCAATCAGGCGTTGTAGAAAATGAAATAGAAGGCAGCAACATTTGCCCTACCAAGCATAGATATCATACCAAACATTCAGCAGCACCAGTTAGCCAGTCGAGCAACAATTCAACCAAGAAGACACCTTGTAACCTGAAAAAATGTGGAAAAAAATAGAAGTGTAACTTTTTTTTTTTTTTTTCTTGCTCTTGGCATTCATGCTCCGGGTAAGTTCACCAATTTGATGGCTCTAGTTATATTCACTATGATACTCTGCGTGTTGGGTTTGTCGATAGCCCAACATAATGCAGACACACATACATACATACAGCGCCCGAATTTCCAACGATTGGTAAATCGTTGTCTGCTGCTGCTTCGAGCGTTCCTTTCTTCTGCAGTCGATAGGAGGCGTGTGCGTGTGTGTATGTACTATGTTTGTTTGTATGGGAGTGCAAGGTGTTCACCGTGGCCGATGATGATGATGCTTTGGTGTGTTGCTGCTGCTTGCTTCTCTTACTTCTTTTTCACTTTTCTGCCCGCCATTTATAAATCTAGAAATCAGGTTTTGGGGGTTTTTTTTTTGGCATAATAAAAAGCTTAAAATAGCATTCAGTCATCGAAGATTAATCGTATGTTACGGCTGGGTTAATAATTTAATCTGGGAATAAAGTAAAGTGTTCTAATAAATGGTAATAAAAATTTGTAGTGAAATCTGGCTCTGACAAAAAATTGCAAATGTTGACAAATTCTTTACTGCAAATTATGACTTGAAATTAGAGATGGGCAATGCATGTGACTTTCTACGCGACCTGTCGTGTCACGCTTTTTCACAAGTGAACGTGAGCGGTTTTGAGAGAAAATCGCGGAGCCTCCGTCATCGTACATAACTGAACTTTTTGCTGGCGTGAACGTGCGTGAGTTAGATTTTCTCGTCAATTACGTTATTTTAACATACAGTGAGTGTCAGTCAAAATCGTAGAGTAAATTTGTTTTCATATTTTTAAAATATTTTGTTTTATTTCAATTTTATTAATTTTTAATACAAATATATCGACACCTGAGTGGAAGAATGTGGCCTATCTCGGCAGTCAGTTCGAAAAGGCGCTATCTCAAAAGACTTTTAAAAACGCTCTATTTCAGAATTTGATTGAAAAACACCCTACCTCAGCTGAAAATACATTGAAAATGTGCTGAGATAGAGCGTTTTTGAATCGGCAGCTGGGATAGGGCGTTTTTGAACCGAATCCTGCGACAGGGCATTCTTCAACCAAATTCTTAGATCGAGTGTTTTTCTTCAATCAAATTCTGAAGTAGGTCATATTCGAACTGGCTTACGAGATAGGTCGATCTTCCACTCAGGTGTCGATATGTAGTTCATCCTACAACAAAATCCATAAAACTCGTTAAGTTTCTAACTTACCAAATATTAAAACAAAAATCGTCAAATTTTCATCAAAATTGTGAGTAGATTGATCTCACCGTTTCTAATAAATAAAACAAATTTTTTTTTTTTATAACGGTGAAGTTTTCAAATAGAATGTGCATATTAGAGACAATGGACGTTGACACCAAATACAGCATATCTGTGAATTTTCGANTTTTTTTTTTTTATAACGGTGAAGTTTTCAAATAGAATGTTCATATTAGAGACAATGGACGTTGACACCAAATACAGCATATCTGTGAATTTTCGAGTGTGCCATCAAATTAAAAAAAAATAAAAATAAAAAATGGCAGCATGCATTTTGAAGTTTTTGAATTTGTACGTTTTCTTTTATTTTAATCATTTAAGATACTTCAAGAAGTATACTACGAACGAATCTAGTGTTATAAAGCTAGTGTGCCACCAAATGAAAAAAAAATTACATGTGAGTAAAAGATTACTATGATTTGAGAAACTAAAATACCATTTTTACAACTTTTATTAGCACACTCGTAATTCATTCTAAAATTCTTAAACACATGAAGAAGGCAATATTTGCCCAAAGAATACTGTGTAAACATCTTCCACGCCATTATTTAATAACTTTAAATAATATGACTAAGTTAAGGCGTGCGAGTAACCGTATTAGATGACTGCGTATGGTGCTACGGGGCGTATACGTGACATACGCAACTACGGCTACGGTATGAGCACGAGTGGTTGTTTTTATATTTTTAGTAGCTATTTTCATTTATTTCATTTTTCATTTAAATAGAATTTTGAATTTTTGAAGATAATGCACTTTGTAAGATAAGTGTGCCAAAAACGAGTTTTTGTCGAAAAATGTAACAACTCGGTAAGATTTGCTCTTATGTACATGAGTGCATTAAATGAAGCCAATAATGACTCCATCGGTCGCCAGCATCAGCGAAACAAATTATTCGATGCGTTGCTCGACTGTGGTCGTAGCAGGTGATTACTGAGTTAAGTTGGAAAGATCCAGTAAATAAAAATTTAGCGCATTTTGGTATTTATGCTTTTCCTACGCAAAAGGAATAGGTAGACATACATATCTCGTGCTTATACTAATACCAATATGAAGCACTGGATTCTTTGAATAGCCTCGACTGTCTTTACTCAGTCTCTGAACGACAGCTGTTTTTTTTTTGTGAGACCCTCAGTGCGGAAAATGAATCTTTTTAGGACAAAATCAAATATCCCCAGAACCAGAATATATAGCGCATTAATAGAAAAATAGTCTAGTTGTATGAAACAAATACATTGTCCTTTAAAATGTCCTACGAAATAGAAGTTTTCCTTTTGTTTTGACCAGAAAACAGCAGATTTTTTAAAATAAATTTTCAATACATTGAGCACTAACCGCCAAAACAACGTGGCTAAGCGACATGCTTTCCAAAAATTTATTTTTGGTACAGAATTGCTCCTAAGGCATGTGTGTAGATGCATTTCTGCATCAAAAAGAAAATTTAAAAAAAATGGCGCTTACGTTTTTTTGGCGGTTAAGGCTCTATAAATTTCGGTTCATGCGACTATTGCACACTAAAAATATAGGTTAAAAATTTGTGCATTCTCTTTTCAGGAAAAAAAAAAAAATTTTTTTAAGGTTATTTTAATGGTCGATATGTTATTGCTATATTTAAACTTTTGCCAAANAAAAATATAGGTTAAAAATTTGTGCATTCTCTTTTCAGGAAAAAAAAAAATTTTTTGAAGGTTATTTTAATGGTCGATATGTTATTGCTATATTTAAACTTTTGCCAAATTTATTATTTATTTATATATGTACATGTTTTATATATAAGTAAAATCTTGTCGTGTAATGATTTTTCATAAATATTTCTTTCTTTGTTCTATTTTCAGTTCTGCGCTTTCAAAATCGAAGTGAGTACCCGTTTACTTAAAAACCGAACAAAAAGGAACAATCACACGGAGGGACTGACTTTCGTCATTTGCTCGTCTTCGAGTTATGCAAGTTTACGAACATTACTTCAAAATCAGCAAAAACAGTCTAAATCGCCTATAAGTTCGTTATAGATTAGCTCAAAAAAATATTTGTGCTTGTGCCTCGGCAATGTTATTTAACAAACTGAGCTTGGCCTATTACGGTGAAACGTTTCCTATTTCAAGATTTTGCTATTCCGTATCCTCTTCATCCTCTGGCTCGGTGAGCCTAGTGCGGTGATAACATAGATTGGCGCTGTCTATTATTCTTGCTGTATTGCTGGCAAGGTGCTTGCCACCACTTCTGCTCTAGCCCAGAGAGAGGTAGTTATAAAGCATGTGGTACCAACCGGAACGGAACCGTCTAAGGTTGCATCGGCTGCCTCTCGACAGCTTTGCTTCTTTAATGTTAATGGACAGCGGTCAATACCCAGCACGATGTTGTCGTTCTCCACTGCAGTTACCATTTAACAAAGCAGAGTGTTGTTGGGATAGTTTCCATGATGATATCACACGCAAAATTCCTTGAATCGCATGAATTTGGTCTCCTGTCGACAAGGTCATGCTCGGACGACATTAAATGGTATCCTGCAGCCGTTTGTAGATGTGCCTTTAAAACCTTTGAAGACTGCGTGTCGTCTCTTCCTTTTCCACCGACGGGCCGATTGTCTTTTAGTTACTAACCTAGTTTGTTTATCGGCTTCCCAGGTGCTACCTTGTTGCGCTTTGAGGGCTTTTTTCCTTGTAGGTAATTTGTTTCCAAGTGGCTGAGAAAGAGCAAAGGCTATTGAACGTGACTTCCAAAATCTTTGGGCAATCGGCTGCGCGGTATTTTTGCGTCATCCGCATGCCCGTCGAGTTCTGGTCTAATTTTCTTGATACACGTGGTGAAGAGTTTGGCTATGGATTTCGCAACAGAAATTTGTATATATCTGGCAGTGGAGAACTCATAATCGTTTTGAGAGATATCTATGTCTATGTTATCTCACCTGATGAAAGTCAGTTGGCAGTGAGAAAGGAAAAATAGGTGGCAAAACCTTGACTTTAAAAAAAGGTTTTGACAATTTCACTCACTGGGAAATACTGTCCATAGGCGTCTGTCTTCAAAGGCGCGACCAAACAAGAAAATTCCGCAAAGGGGTTTTGAGGGGTAATGCTGGAGTAGCAGTCCTTGGCCAGATATGAATCTGGGTCGTTGCGGTTACGAAGACTCGACTGTGGTGGGAACTTATGATGTACATATGTACATAATCGCTACACGTAGCTCAGAAAATTTAAAATATTTTTTGCATAAACTAATTTCGGTTTACGTTCAACATTAAACTAATAGCCAAAGATTAAATTCTATTTCAAAGGGCATTTAAGCTTCTTATTTAAAAACAAATGCGTCGTAAAAATGTTAGCGAAACTTTATCATTCTCCCCCCTTTTGCTCGACACAAAACCATCAGCAGCATGCCCAACGTAACATATTGGTTGCAGTCGACGAAAACCAATTTCTTCAACAAACATCATTCTAATAAAATATCTTTAACTTTAGCGTAAAAACCATCACCATCACGACAGCGGGAACGGCAGTAACGGCGACGGCGAACCCAGACGACATGCCGTTGTCAACAAATATGCAGCAACAAAGATAAGTCAGTGTACACCAACGTTAGTCATAAGCCAAACAAAGAAGTCAATTGCACTGTGTAGGGGAAAAAAATAGCAAAACTTTGTGTTGCAAAGCGACATAATTTTGTGAAGTCAAGGAAGACACGACCGGTAGCACATACACACACACACACACACACACGCACGCACACGAACCATCCACCCACCCACCGACATGTCCGCCTCGATAATGCCTTTGTCTGTTGACTCGCTAAAGCCGGAAAGCAATGGTGATGGCGGTGGCAGCAGCGCTCGCGAGTTCGTCGAAGGTTGGACACTTGCGCAAACACTTGGCGAGGGCGCTTATGGCGAGTGAGTACCTAGATATAAAACGATAAAAAATAATAATGTTTTTAATTTTTTGTTATCTTCAAGTAAAATTTTATTTACATATAAAAGAGAACACCTTCACATAAATACGTATGCTTACTATAATTTTACGATATTTTTTTGCAAAAATAATATACTCATATTTATACATTTTGCGAAAACATGAAAAATTTGCACAATTATGCGCATGCGCTACAATTTCTATGTCACTCAGCAATAATGCTACAAAACTCATTTTTCGTTTGCTGAAACAATTTCGGCAAGTCTCATTTTACTGGATATTAACATAGATACATACATATGTAAACAAGTCTGTATGTCTATTTGTATTGTTTAAAGTTCTAATTTGCTGTTTTTTCTGCAATTTCATGCATATTTGGGAATTTTCTAGCCGCAAATTGACTACACTTTCTCTACAGTCTATTAACTTTTTTCTGCTCTCTTTTGTTCGTAAAGGAATTCGCTATTTAGTATATATGTAAGTTGTTTGCATTGACAACCCCCACGCGCAAATAACAATAGTTAAATGCAACAAAAACAATATGAAAATAGTGCTCATACAAAAAACAAAAAAAAAAACACGTTAAGGTTATTCTCTATGTCTTGCAAAACCCTTGCACGGTGCAAGGATTGCACGGCAGAAACGGTTTTCCAATGGGGAAAACTTTGCAAACTGTGTAATACGTGCACCATGCAAGGGTATTGCAAGATTTAGAGAATACCCCAATTGACAAAAGTGTTGTAGGTACTATTTTACGACCCCGAGTGCGAAAGATACGACGAGTGACCTCTAGTAGAGAGTATACCTAAATACAAACATACATGTATAGTTGTAGTATCAATTCGTGCCAACTGCCAAACGACTCTACAACCGTTTATTCCAAGTTAAGCATTCGCAGCAATCCTTCCGCTTATCCAGTCTTCTGCCACATTGTGCTGTATACCACTACGTGCTAGGTAGTGCAGCATTTATTTCATTTGGAGCAGTGTAGTAGTGTAGACTTTAGTTTTTAAATTTCTTTTTTTTATTATTATTTTTTCCTTTACACATTGTCTTCTACTTGCACCGCTCTTTTATTTATTTTGTTCTTTGCATTTTCTTCTTCGTTTTTTTTGCAGAGTAAAATTGTTGATTAATCGTCAAACCGGCGAGGCTGTTGCTATGAAAATGGTCGATTTGAAGAAGCATCCGGATGCTATGCTCTCCGTACGCAAGGAAGTTTGCATACAGAAACTACTACAGGATAAACATATTCTACGTTATTTTGGCAAACGTTCACACGATGATGTGGAGTATTTGTTTTTGGAATATGCAGCTGGTGGTGAATTGTTTGATAGAATTGGTGAGTAATCAAAAAAAAAAAAAACGTGTAAATGTCGTGCAATTAATTTGTAGTTTGCATACAATTCCGGAGATAGAGCGTGAAGTGTTTTAATTTCGCAAACAAAAAACTTGGACATATATTTAGGATAAATGAATTGTGCAGAGATTGCAAAAGTTTTTGAGTCAATATGAAGTTGAGTGGGACAATGACAGGCAGAGTATTTATTTTGGTTTTCTTTTTCAATTTAAAAAAAAAACAACGTTTAAAGTATTGTGGGTAACTGCACAGTCGATGGGCTGGCTAGGAATGGGACGGAAATATCCGGTGGCAGACACCCTAATCTAACACTTAAAACCAAAACCAAAATACATACATATAGTCACCTTAATTCACAAAGGTCCTAAACAACAAAACGGGTAGGACTTTTTAAAAAATAGCATGTAACTCCGTTGTTTTTGGTACTAAGACCTTAAAATTTGTATTTAATACATCCTACCAACATCTGTGAAAAACGCAATTTCGAAAAAAAAGTGTTGGCTAAGGCCTTTGCGAATTAAGGTAAACGATATGTACATACTTATTTATGTTTACAGGTATCCTCTAACCACCACGCAATATAATTTTTACACACCTCTAATATTAGTGTAGTCAAGCTGGTATACCAAATCGTTATCGCTACTCTTTATTGCCAAAAATCTCCAAAATAATAGAAGGCCGCATAACAACATGCAACATCTAGTTACATACATGCCCCTCATACTGTCAGATGTGGCTGATTACATATTAGCTCTGCTTGACACTTTCCATGATTTTACCAGAAGAAAAAGTTCGGGTAAAATCTTGCAACTTCATTCTCTACACAACTCTCCAAAAGACGCTCTCATTTACAGGATTTTGGAGGATTTTAGAGTACGGGAACATTTTTCCTGCAACTTCCTGCAAGTTCGTGTAAAATCCTGTAAGTTCATGGAGTACTGGATCAGAGCTATTGCATCTGTTACTTTTCCATGTTGTATACTTTTAGGCCCCCCACTGATTTCCATTTAGAGAAACTTGGCGAAAAAAATTTACCCTAGCTATTGTTAGAATTCCAGTGCTGAATAACATATCCAAAAGGTACCATCGAGTGTGACATGGAGCATTATTTAACCAAGAGATCGCCGTCATTATCTCTGATATTCGAATACTGAAAGATATATGAGTAGTCCAGTTGCAAACAGCGTTATGTGATTTTATAATAGAAAGCCATAAATTTGAAAAAACGACTACGACAACAAGTAACATTTAAATTGAATGTTTTTTATTATTACCTGAAAAGTTGGATAAATAAGAGCCTTATAAAATTATAACACAACATACCATGACACAAGATAACATTAACAGTCTATACGACCTAAAGCAGTTTTCTAGGTTCATCAGAAGATGGAAACTTTTGAAAGTTTATAAATAAGTATGATACCGACTTTTGGAAGAAGAGTTAACATTTTATGCTATTTTTTCATAATATAAAAAGATTTTGCACTGTGTTGTTAGTGGACATGACACTACTTTAAATACTGGTACGTAATCCACCAAAAACTAAAAATCGAAAAAATTTTACATAGCGCACTTTGCAAGTGGACTACTCATATGTATACAACTCGAGCTACAAAAGCCGCAAGTATTTGTCAGTATAGGAAGGGAAAGAGCGTGGCTAAAACTGGGGTATACTTGGCTCGAGGGAAATATTGCACATATCGACATTTCTCTCAATTGTTTATTTTTATTTTTGAGAGTAAAAGACACACAGTTCTGGCATTTGCGAACTCCTATAAAGGAGTTCCATTCCATTCGAACGATATGGCCAAGCTAGCGGAGCCGCTGTATTTTAATTCGCTGCACTATGTCCATGTCGTTGTAAAGCTCATACAGCTCATCGTTCCATCGTCTGCGGTACTCGCCGTCGGCAACGCGTAAAGGCACGTACATCTTCCGCAATATCTTTCTCTCGAATACTCCAAATGCCGCCTCATCGGATGTTGTCATTGGCCATGCTTCTGCGCCATATACTAGCACGGGCATGATGAGTGACTACTTATAGAGTAGAGTGTGGTTTTCGTACGTCGAGAGGGGACTTTACTCCTGTATTGCCTACTCAGTGCGAAGTAGCACTTGTTGGCTAGAGCGATTCTGCGTTGGATTTCCATGCTGACATTATTATCGGTGTTAATGCTGGCTCCCAAGTAAACGAAATTCGTCTTGTCCTCGTTTACCCCTAGACCCATTCACTTGCTTCATTATCTAACTTGGGGGAAAAGGCAGAACAGACTTCGCGGTTCTTTTTACCGATGATGTCGATGTCATCGGCGTAAGCCAACAATTGCACGCTCTTGTAGTAAATTGTTCCTGAGCGGTTGAGTTCTGCAGCTCTTATTGTCTTCACCAACATCAGATTAAAGAAGTCACATGAAAGGGAGTCGCCCTAGCAGAAAACCCCGTTTGGTGGCGAACGGCTCGGAGAGGTCTGCCCCAATTCTGACGGAGCTGGTGGTATCTATTGCTCAACGTCATTTTACACAGCCGTATTAGTTTCGCGGGGATACCAAATTCAGACATAGCTGGGTATAGGCAACTCCTTTTAGTGCTGTCGAAAGCGGCTTTAAAGTCGACAAATAGGTGGTGAGTGTCGATCCTTTTCTCGCGGGTCTTTTCCAAGATTTGGCGTATTGTAAATACCTGATCTATGGTGGATTTGTCAGGTCTGAAGCCACACTGATAAGGCTCTATTGTATTTTAGGTTTGAATTTAGATGGAAAAGTAAAGCTTGAGTTCGATTAGGCTAGCCTAAAGTTTGATGTGGTTGACTACTACAAGCAGTGTGTTTGTGCAGACAACCTCTAGTGAAAACTCTGAATATTGATACCTAACTGTCTTTCTGTCTCCTTTTTTAAAATTAAATCATTATTGCAGCTTTAAAAAAGAAGTGGTGAAGTGTATGAAAGAAACCATCATGATGCGTTTTAGCAGACACTCTTCATAGTAAATAAAAAATAATGTGGTTTCTAACCCCTGGTTAGAGTTAATCAAGCGATGCACAGGTCAAGGTCCGGTCCCTTCATATTCGATAATATGTCTTGCAACATAAATCTAAAACCTCGTGGTCTTTCCATTCATTTCCCGCAGGAATTTAATTTTAAATTGCTTTTTATTTTACCAACGTTTTTCTTCAATGGATTCAGCATTTTAATCTATTTGTAATTATTAAAGAATAATTACTTTTTACTGTTGTTTCACTCAAACGGAAATAGCTCCCGTGCATTTTTTATGATACTTAAATAATGAATATTTATAAATATATGAATGTACATTAGGGTGCCTCGCCAAAAAAAAAAAGTTGCGGTTTCCACCATAATTATAAAATTTATTATATTTTAAAACTCCCACCAAAATATATCGGGGGAGAAAATATTAAAAAATATTACGTGAGCTGAACCTGTTGGAAAATACTTCCAAACGTCTCATTCTTTTGATTCCTTGTGATTGTTAAACATTTTTGTGAAGACGTTTTAAGCTTAAACTCTTCTATCGTCTGAGGTGATTTTTTTGAGAATAAATTTTTTTTTTTTTAATAATTTTATTTATGTATAAAAAGCTCGATGGTCGTCGGAAGTATGCATTTTCAATTCGGCCCTGCTCATTTTTTGGGCGGAGGTCTTAAAATATAATCAATTTTATAACTCCGATGAAAAAACAGTAACAGTTTTTTTTTGTATGTAGGTGATGCACCCTAATGTACATATGTAGGTACATACATTTAAGTTCTTGATACTAAATTTAAACATAACTCGTACTACATACATATGTATGTGCATATGAGCGCACTAGTAATCAGCCATTAGATGAGTTTTTCCAACTGCTGCTCGTTGTTTTCTCCACATTTCCCTTTTTTATTATTAGTTGTAAGTGTGTTTATGTGTTTATTGCTAGTTATTTTATAATACTTTGCTACTTTTTTTCATTGCTTAGCACACAAATTAATGATAGTGCATAAATGCAAATTAAGAGGACGTTGGTAGATGATGGCACACACACACACACATACATACATACATACATTCATACATACATGTGTAGGTAGGAAAAGGCGTTGCAGCAGCAAGCAAGTATCCATTGCAATGACGACTCGTGGCCACTAACCAATGCCACGATGCCATATTATCCTGGTAGCGGTATGCATTAGAAGCGCATTGCCTTTTGCCATACTTCTGATGTTGCATATTGTTTACGGCCAAGAGATTGGGTTGAGAGATTGGGCTTCCAGATTGGCATTGGGATTGGGAATGAATTGCTTGATGTACTACATAGCTGGCCACTATTGTTGTTTTGTTTTATACACACAAATGTATGTGTGTGTGCNGCATATTGTTTACGGCCAAGAGATTGGGTTGAGAGATTGGGCTTCCAGATTGGCATTGGGATTGGGAATGAATTGCTTGATGTACTACATAGCTGGCCACTATTGTTGTTTTGTTTTACACACAAATGTATGTGTGTGTGTAGGCTTATTTTTATGATTATTTACGGTAATGACGTGCATGAGGCACATTTGTGCGGGTGTTGCAATATCCTGATGTGCATTCATCAGCGTCCTATTGTTGAAAACAGTGCGCGGTTTGTTAGCTATGATGAGTAGTTTTATAGTTAGCTGGCGTCAAGGAGAAGGAGATTATTACAAAAAAAAAAAAAAAACATGTACAACTGTGAGTGAAATTGCACTATCTAATGTTTGCCAGGGAGCGAAAGGAGGGAGGAAGGCAGTCATTCACCGCATGCAGTTTGATGTTTACTGCTTTTAAATTGTATAGCAAAATTTCTTATAAACAAGTAGAAAAGGCTTAAACTTGAGGATTTATTTTATAGCTATGTATACTAAAACATGTTTTTAATACTTCTTATTACTTATTATTATTATTATCTACAATTTGAGTAGATTCTATTTTTTTAGCATGTACCAAAGTCATCTGCTATCGCGTGTTTAC